GCAGTGTTTCCTCTGGGAGAGGAGTGGCTCTCGCTCCTTCGGTGCTGAGGTTCTCTCAGCAGCACTGCCGCTGCCTCCTGGAGGTGAGCCGCTGCCACCCACCAACGTCCTCCAAACTGCGTCCGGCTGTATGAAAGTGCCTTCCAGCTGTTCTGTCTACCCTAGGCCACCGGGACCACGTGCTTGTCCTGTCCCTTTAGTCGCATTGGGACCCGGCAGTTGCCTTGCAGCGTCCCTGGGTCGGGGTTGGTTCATGTGCTGCCTTGTGCAGTGCGTGGCTCAGTTCTCATTCTACAAGACTGTGAACTGGAAACAGATCCAGGGTCAGGATTGGAATCAAGTTAGAGGTGTTCCCAGGAGCATCATGGGTGGTGGGGTGATGTCATTTGGTAGGCAGGGGTTGCCATAGCATCAGGTGCCTTCGGTGTGTCCTTCTGTTGTACAGTCAGACCTCCCTGGCAGCCTGAGAGAGCGCTGGTGATGGTACTTTGCTACACTTCTCATCTTGTGCCTTGGGCCTTCCCCCGTGGATTGATATCTTTTTTCTCTTTTCATTCTCCCTCGGGCAATCTGAACTTCTCGTAATTTGCCTCATTAAACTAAAAGCAGCCTTTCCTGCTCCTCCCTATGAAGTGGCAGTGCAGCTCGGAGCTTCTCCCAGGGGAGCGGATGTGAAGCCTCTGCTCAGGCCCAGCCGAGGGCGGGGTGTCCTCAGCACCCTCGGTACTGGCACAGGAAATGGCTGTGCAGCTGCAGGAAGGTGCTGCCCGTGGGAACAGACTGCGCGGGCACTTGGCTGCCGTGTAGTCATGAAGAAGGAACTTGGCTGGACTGGGAACGGTCACTGGAGGCAGATGCAGGCCCTGGGCTCTGTGTGGGCTCCCAGTCCCTCCCCCAAAGGACCACAGCAGCGGAAAGAGGAGGTGGAGACCACAGCCTAGGTTCCCATGCAGGCCTGGGCCACCACAGCTACCATTTATGGATCCACGATGTGAGATAGGAGTGCCCAGCGGAGCTCCATCCCAGGTCAGGTGGTTATGGGGGGGACAGAGTGCAGTGCCGGGCCAGGTACATCCTCCTGGGAGAGCCCGCTGTGTCAGAGGCACTGCTGACCCTCCCACAAGCCCCACTGGGCTCTTTCACAGAGGAGGGAGTCCAGAGAGGTCGGCCGTGCAGTGAACGGTGGTGACAGGATTCGAACCCTGGTCAACTGAATGGTGGCAGCAGTGCTTGAGCCCAGTGCGGTCTTCTTGGGCCCCTGAGGCCTGGTGAAATGTCTTGTGTGCCTGTGTGTCCAAGCTTCCACTGGGGACACATGGACTTGAGCCCCTCAGCCTGCAGGAGGCCCACATGCCGGAGAACTTGACCCGAGTCATGCTGTCACCTCAGAGAGCCACTTGACAGTCAAGTCATGTCCCCCTGAGTGTGTTCCCGTCCATCAGCATGTGTGATTGTAGAAGCTGCAATCTTTCTAGGAAAATTGCAAAACCTAGCGATGCGAAGCAGCAGCTTTCTGATTTTCTCTTACCTTGACTGCTTTGCCTTCTTTCTTCAGAATGACCCCATCCTGACCTGCTGAAGCATCTGTGAGGGCATCTTCCGGTCTCTGTTTGGGGAGCATGTTGGGGCACAAGGGCCTGCCCGCAGCACAGGGCCCACAGGCCCCGAGAGGGAGCGGGAGGCCGGAGGTCCTGGCCTGCTGCGCTGGGGCCTCCGGCCTGTGCTTCAGGGGAGTGGGCTTTCCCAGCTCTCAGGCCCACCTCTCCCGCAGGCTCTCCTAGGCGGGCACCGGAGGGGAAGGACAGAGTGAGGCCTGTGCTTTTACCTCTGGCTTTGAGCTCTTCCGGTGGGATCTCTGCGGCAGGACAGGGCGGTGGTGTGCGCTCGCTCCTGCCGTGATTCACTAACTGGGATGGCACGTGCTGCTCTCCATAGGCGCAGGCTGAGCGAGCACTCGCTCACCCGAGGGCGGGCAGTTCTCAGCACTTGTCTTTCCCACTGGTCCCTGTGAGTTGTGGACCTTCAGAGCCTCAGAGTAGGCCCAGCCACACTCAGGTAGTCAGAAGGGTCCATTCAGGCCATCAAACAACCATGTCTGTGTTCACCGTCATGTGCAGGGCACAGAGGCCCTTTGTGGGGCCGAGATGCTGTCACTAATGCAGGAACATCTCTGCCAGGGTCCTCCTCACAGCTGAGACCTGTGTGAGCTCAGCTGATGCTCAGGGCCGGTGGCTGTGGATTCGGCCACCTGCGGGACTGATGCTTGTGCCTCATTCATAAACCACAGCATTTAGGGGAATGCCCTTTGTCTCTCGTTTCCACATTGATGTGGGAAGCTGTTTCCGGTGGCGGCTGTGCATCGCTCTCACAGCGTCCCTCGGGGGATAAAGCAGGTGCATTTGCATGTGAAGCCAGCCGGGCTCGCAGATGTGCGGAAAGGGCCGGGGACAGGGAGGCTCATTGCTCTGGGAGGTCACTGTTCGGAGCCCTGGCCATTCATCCCGTGCTGAGCGGCCTGGGCGCCGCTGCCAAGGCCGCTTTCCCTGCCAAGACGGGGCTGTGCTCTGAGCTTTTTGGGATGTGAGGTAGGATATGAGGTCTTCTCTTTTCACTCGTCATTTCCACGTGGTAGTAAAAGCAGGGTGTCAGGTGCACTGTGTTGGTTTCAAATGGAGTGTTTTGTGAAGCAAGCTGAGAGACGCTTTATCAGGAAAGAGGCTGGGAACGGGCAGTCTGAATGGCTGGTGGTCTGGACAGAAGAGCTGCATTCAGTCCAGTAGAGTCCCCCAGACCTGTCTCCCAGACGCCTCCGGAACTGTCCCCCACAGGCGCCCCCCGAAGCATCTGGCTCTGTGTCCACCATTTGGATGGAAACGGCTCTGCTTCCAGAGCACAGTAAAACCCTGACGCAAGTACTGGGATGGGCTAAGTGATGTTTGAGAGCAAAATAGTACTTTTCTTTGGTATGTTACTAAGAAATCAAATTATTAAGATGGACTTGACATTTGAATGCCATCTAGCTTTATTTCTTTTCTTTTCTTTTTTTTTTTTTTTAATATTTTATTGATTTTACTCAGAGAGGAATTGAGAGGGACTGAGAGTTAGAAACATCGCTGAGAGAGAAATATCGACCAGCTGCTTCTTGCACACCTCCCACTGGGGATGTGCCCGCAACCAAGGTACATGCCCTTGACCAGAGTCGAACCCGGGATCTTTCAGTCAGCAGGCCGACACTCTATCCACTGAGCCAACCCGGTCCCGGCAATTTCTAAAGAAATGCTTTGTAAAAATTGTGGTGATGCACTAGGTGGGGATTTGATTTGATTTTATCTAGAAGAATATCTTTTTTTATAGTGGCAGCATTTTTTTGGATGGTTCTTTGGTTGATAATAAATCATAGCAAACACCACTGAATTGTTCTGAATGAAATCTTGCCGAAGTATGGTTTATGTGTTGTTGTTTTGTTTTGTTTTTAATTGTGTGACAAAGCAATGTCGCTTAGTCTCCTAGCCTGCACTATGCCAGCCTGTGCCCGGAGCAGCCCCGGCCTCACCTGGTTCTGAGGATTCCTCCCCGACCCCAGCTGCACCCAGCCCTCTTCTCCTGTCTAATGCACTACGGCCAGAACCCAGCCATCTAGAAACCTCCTCTGTCAGAAATCATCCCCCACTCTTACTTTCTCCCAGAGGCCGGTCCTAAGCGCTGAGTTAAAATTGGAGAGTTAGGCAAAAGCAGGGTTTTGGTGAGTCCTGATGATTGGGTTTGTTAGAGTGGACACAAGGAAAGCAGGAGCAAACTAATACACAGTTAAAGCATTTTCAAGCAGTTACCATCAGCCATGAAGTGAGTTCTCTACCTCTGTCTGTCCATCCTGTGCGTGCAGCATCTGTCCGCTCAGTGGCTGTGTTTGCCAGCTGCTCTGTCAACCTTGTTAGTGGATGTAATAGTGAGGAGGCTGGCGGGGGCTTCCCAAGAAGTGTGTCTTCTGGCATCCACCTTCCAAAGTGCAGGAGGGGGGCGGTGCCATGGGAGAGGAGGTGCTGACCCAGCCCCAGCGGGAGGGCCTCCCTGGACTCCCTGGCACCAGGGAGCTGAGCTCTGAGACCAAGGGGGGGAGGGGAGGCGCTGAGGAACCGCATGCACGGAGGCCCAGAGGAAGGACAGGTGCAGAACCGCCTATGGCAAGGGTTCCAGTCCTCTCTCAGATGGCAGACCTCCCTGGAGAATTTCAGAGAAGTGTGGGTCCATCCTGGGAAGAGGGCAGAGATGGCCGCACACTTAGCACATGCTCCCAGAGCTTTATATCCAATTTCTGGAGGCACTGAGACACCCTGACGCACAGACACTGTGATAGGCTGAGAGCCCAGCATGGCTTATTGACAGGGAGACGAGCCTCTCACGCTTCTTTCCCTGGGCTGTGCCACACCAGCCAGGAGCTGTCCCATCCCTTCGGTAAAAGCTGTCATTCTAGGAGCTGCTCACGAGTTTAAAGGAGCATATGCTTGTGTTGTTGTTTTTCAAGTCGGTGTACAGTTTCACTTAAAAACCCAACAGTCTTCAGGGTTACTGCAGAAACATTTAGCTGTCATTGCCCAGGACCCTTAAAGGCATGAGTGCACAGGGAGACGCTCATGCTATGATGCATAGTGCCCTGCACGTGTTTGATGCTGTTTGATGCAGGTTTTCAGGAGCCATTCTGTCCATCTTCTACAAAGTGAGCTCCACTCTGGAGCAGGGCTGCTCTGCGATGCAGGCTGAGGGGCGGATGCTTGGGGGCCTGAGGGCTGGGCGGGTGCCTGAAGCATCCTCTCTCGGTCGAGGCCGCGTGGTGGTTGTGAAACCACATTTGACATTACTTGAATTAAACCTTGAAATGTTCGCAAACCTTTCAATCCCCATATTGCTGGAGCATTGCCAGGCCAGTGGGTGTGCGGTGGGAGCGGGCTGTGATTTGCCTGGGTACCTACTGAGCATGAACCTGTGCTTTACCTTTCCCACAGCCACTTCCCCTCGGGTGTCCTCCGAGCTGGAGCAGGCCCGGCCCCAGACTAGCGGAGAAGAGGAACTGCAGCTGCAGCTGGCGCTTGCCATGAGCAGAGAAGTAGCTGAGCAGGTTGTGCCCAAGCCCACTGTGCGCTGCCCTGTGCGGGGGGGCAGGGACCCCAGGGAGGACAGACACCTGCCCTGTCCCACACTCTGCAGATGACTTGTGTTGCCACCTGTGTGTTCTGTCACCTCCTGCCCCCAGTCAGGGCAGGGTCCTACACAAAGTACATTTAGGAAAGGTCTTCGGGGAAGGAAGGCTTTGCCAAGGGACAAACCAGTCAAAAGTGCTTCCCAGAAACCCTTTTGCCAACCTGGCCAAGCCTCATGGGCTCGCTCTGCGCAAGCTGAGTGTCCACGGCTTCCCCGGCTGGCGTGTGGGCTCCCCGCTGGCTTAGCCCTGGGCAGTGTGTGAGGACCCAGCAGCATCTGGACACAGGGAGATACTCAGACAGGTAGATGGAGTCCAGGTGCATCCTCTGGGCCGTTTTAGTTCATAGCATGCCTGTGATTTGTTATATTTATAATAAAATGTAATGGATCTATTTACTAATATTTAATCATTATGTAATCATTTAATATTAGGGTGACCCAGTCTTTTGCATATGGTGGCTATAATGAATCATTTTTTTAAATTTTTTTTATTTTAAAAATATATTTTATTGATTTTGTACAGAGAGGAAGGGAGAGAGATAGAGAGTTAGAAACATCGATGAGAGAGAGTCATCGATCAGCTGCCTCTTGCACACCCCCTACTGGGGATATGCCCGCAACCAAGGTACATGCCCTTGACCGGAATCGAACCTGGGACCTTTCAGTCCCCAAACCGACGCTCTATCCATTGAGCCAAACCGGTCCCGGCAATATAATGAATCATTTTTATTAGAAAGCGTAGAAAAGAAATAGTCATTTCTGGAGGAATGCACAGCGGGAGGGGAACAATATGTGATTTTCCTCTTGAATTCCTTTCTGGGTTGTTGGATTTTTCTACTTTTATAAACTGACCTATTGCTGCTATATTTAGAATTATAAAGCCATTTTCATTTTTATAAGAAACATTTGAGAATAAGTATCTTGTGGTGCCAATTTGTGGTGCCTGTGCCCCGGTCTCCTGGGACCCCAAGGCGGGTGTGGGGTGAGCAGGGAGTCACAGGAGAGTCTGTGTCCTGCAGGGTGTTCCCCAGTCCTCTTTTGAAATAGCACAGGATACGATCTTGCGTTTCCTGGTTGGCCCGGCCGCTTTGTTCTGTAGAGTGATGTCATTGCAGCTACCCAGCTTCAAGCTCCTTGTCCTCTCCAGGAAGAGCGCCTCCGGCGGGGCGATGACCTCAGGCTGCAGATGGCGCTGGAAGAGAGCCGGAGGGACACCGGCAGAGCTCCGAGGAGGCAGGAGGTGGGTGCTCGCCGGGGGTGAGCGCGGAGACGCCCCGCAGCAGCTGCCCACAGTGCGGCTTCTCTTCCTTCTGCAGGTAGTCCTGAGGCCTGGAACGAGCAGGAGCGAGGTGAGGATGGAATTGATAGTATGTTTTGGCCTCCTGAGACCTCCCGAGAGAAATGGGCATGGGGGCCTAGGTCCCATTCCCCGGGCTGGTCTGTGTGTACCTCAGTCCCCCCGGTGAAACAGCAGGGAGGAGAGCCCGCCGCATGCAGTGACGGAGGCCGTTGGTCACGTAGGCTTAATGTCAGGTGCTTTGGAACCATTTCCTGGCACAGGGTCAGCCCTCGTAGTGCAGGTCTTCCTTGCTGTCATCATTTCTATGCCAGGCTTCCTGCTTCGTACTTCAAGGTGACCAGGACATGGCTCTGCTCCCAACAAGCACCTCATCCAGCCAGGATTCAGCCCCTCCAACCCCAGGGCCAGGGGCTCAGTGGCCACCTGTATCACAGTCCCCAAGCATCCTGGCAGCTAGGGAGCAAGGCGGTGGGCATGCGCTCTGGAAGGAGGAGGACGCCTGGGTCATGCCGGAAAGCCCTCGGCCTATCTGAAAGTGGGCATGTCCTTAGGCACATAGTAAATAGCTCCGTGTGGCTGTGGAAATGCCGGGGGCAGAGGGACATGGGCAGGGCAGGGCATGGGGCTGCTCAATGCCAAGGCTTCATGCCCCTCAAGAGGGACTCTGTTCTGGTAAGAAGCACGGGCAGTGTTTATGCTGACAGGTGGATGTTTGCTGGACTATAGCAAAGTAAAACTTCTTTTCCTTTTCTCAAAAGCCCAGCTCCTACCCACAGCAGACCACTCTGTTGGATTTAATGGACGCCCTCCCCAGCTCAGGCCCTGCTGCCCAGCAAGCTGAGCCCTGGGGCCCGTCAGCCTCAGCTAGCCAGACCAACCCCTGGAGCGGGCCCGCAGCCCTCGCCAGCACTTCGAGTCCCTGGCCATGCGGTAAGGACTCCCTCCTCCCTCTCCTGCATGCTTGCTGAATGGGTGAGGGCAGAGCTGTTGCTCTCGCTCATCTGGCAGAGGTGAGGTGAGTCTGGCCCCTGGTGGGGACCCAGGCGGCTGCTCTCCTCCTGAGGACTTGCCTTCTGCTTTGAATGCTCTCTGCTTTGGCGGAGGGAAAGTAGCCTTCCTCTGTTTCCCACGTGCATCAGAAATGGCTTCTCCCACCACTGGGACACGTCAGCGCTTCCAGCCTCAGAATTGCACTCAGCAGCCCAGGTTAACAAACTGAAATACACAGCATGAAATGTGGAGATCAAGTTGCTATGATGTACTTACATGACTGCTAATGAAAAGGGGATACATTTGCTGTAATTGTTCTTACTAGTTAATACAATAGTAAATCAGTTTACTAGGCGGCATGAACACTGGGAGGTTCTGTTTAATGCCAAATGTAAGAAAGTTCAGGAAGAGCTCTGAAACCGAGTGTAGCGTGCTGGGTTTGATGTGGGTGGAGATCCTGGGCACACGGGTTTGCGGATCGCTGGGCACACGTTTGACCGGCAGGCGATGGCTTCCCAGCCCCCCTGCACTCTGGACGGCAGCAGCACCTCACTCTGGGTGCCTGGCACCCCCCCCCCCCAGGCCATGGCGGACTGTGCTTTTCTGCCTTGGAACTTGGAATTGTGTATTTTGTGGCAACTTGCCTATACCTGTTGGGATCTGTTTCCCCAACTAGAACCATCTTTGTACTCAGCTGGGATTCCTGGGTGCTTGCTGAAGTGTACCAAATGCCAGGCTCCATCCTGTCATGCAGGGGCCCAGACATAACCAAGGTTCCGGTCAGGTGTTGGCTGGGCCTTGGTGGCAGTGGAGAGCTCAGGCAGTAAGAGCAGGGCTGAGCTCAGAGGTGGGGCTTATCAGGAATTGGGGTGGGGGTGAGGCAGGCCTGTTGGAAGAATCTTCAAGGGAGAGCAGGAGTGGCCAGGCCAGGAAGAGGCCCGAGTGTTCCCAGCAGAAGGCTCGCTGTGCGGGGCAGGAGGGCATGCAGTGGTGTAGCTGGTGCAGGCATGGGGGCCTTCCTGGTGTACGTTGGGCAGCAGGGGGTTGAGGTGGGAGTGCAGGGAATGAGGGCTGGAAAGCTGGGATGGTGGCTTCCTGGTTACTCAGGCCTGGCAGCTTTGCCAAGTACTTGGACGTGTCCAGAAGACAGTGTTGGCACCAGGTGTCCTTGGGTGATGTTGTTGGCTTCAGGGACTTAGACAGAGCCCCACCCTCCCTGGCAGGAGCCCTCTGGGCCTGGGGACAAACCCTAGGCCAAATGGTGCACAGTTCCTGCTCCCTGACGGCCAGCACCACGGCTGCCGGGAGCTTGGTTTGTGTGGTCCATGGCCATGTGCGGTGCCCAGCCTATGGTGGACTGTCTTCCTGAGTGCACGTGGGCAGGAGGCGGGACTGCGGAGGTGCCACGTGGCACTGCCTGTGGGGACAGAGTGGTGGTGGCCACCCTAAGTTAGGACAAGGACATTCTTCAGGAAAGACTGTCAGTCCCTTTCAGGACGGGAACTGAGCATTGAACATATGGGCGGTCTTCTCCGGAGGGGCCTGGGAGAGAGAGGCAACTGAATGATGCTGAGTCAGCGGCTGATTCTGAGGTGGGGCTTGGAGACCAGGTGGTTGGACGGAGGCAGCTTTCCCTTCTACCCTGTTTCTACTGTTTGTGTCACCTGGTTGGAAGCGGTAGAATACATATCTCGTAAAGGAACAAGTTTGTACAACCCTTCCTTTAGCTGGTGGACAGGGCCGTGTGCTGGAGCTGAATGATTGAGCAGGAAAGTGACCCTCATGGGGAACTGGGGAGTCTCCTGTTTGGGGGGACCATCTCTGGCAGTTGGGGTTCTCACACTGCAGGAGCATAGGCAGGCTGACAGAGGTGGGTGCAGTTGGAGAAGGGCAGCTGGTGCCCAAAGGCAGATGTTTGCTCTTCCCAGTTCACTTTTAATCAAGATAGAACTCATATAGCGTAAGTTCACTACTTTAACCATTGAGTGGCAGTTCCACGGTTCTTAGCCACTCATCAGCATTGATTGCAGCGCGTTTCTGTCAGCCAGTCACTTTCAGCAGTCCCTCTCTCTTACCCTTCCCCCAACCGTCTCTGGATTTGCCCATTCTGGACATTTCTTATGTGTAATGGGATCACACATGTGGCTCTTGTGACTGGTTTCTTTCACTTCAAGTGTTTTCAGAGTTCACCCACATACTAGTATGTATCCCCACTGCATTCCTTTTTGTGGCTGAATAATACCCCATTTTATAGATAATACCACATTTTGTTTAGCCATTTAGCAGTAGATGGATATTTGGGTCACTTCCACTTTGGGGCTGTTATGAATCTAATTTTTAAAAGAAACGATTGACCAAGTCTAGTCGAATAAGGCTGTCTCCTGGCATAGATACAGCTGATCCTCCCACCCTACCAACTCAGGGAAGCAACGAAAATGCCGAGACAAGGAAACAGATCACAAAAGAAAGAAATGGAGGACAAAAAGCTGCTGGATATAGAGTTCAAAACCACGCTTATAAGGTTTTTCAAGAATCTCCTAGAAAAGGCCGATAAAATAAACAAGACCTATGAAGACATGAAAAGGGATCAACTAGAAATAATAAGGGATCAATAAGAAATAAAGAATACATTCTCTGAAATAAAAAAATATTATACAGAGTCCTAAAAACAGAATGGAAGATCGCAAGAATCAAGTCAAAGACTTGGAACACAAAGAGCCAGAGGACACTCCTCCACAAGAGCAAGAAGACAAGAGAATCCAGAAAGCTGAAGATAGTGTAAGAAACCTCTGGGACAACTTCAAGCGAACCAACATCAGAATTATGGGCATCCCAGAAGATGAGAGAGAGCAAGAAACCAAAACATATTGAAAGAAATAGTGACAGAAAACTTCCCCCACCTGGTGAAAGAAATAGACTTACAAGTCCAGGAAGCCTGCAGAACCCCAAACAAAAGGAATCCAAAGAGGACCACATCAAGACACATCATAATTAAAATGCCAAGAGCAAAAGACAGAGAGAGAATATTAAAAGCAGCAAGAGAAAAGCAGGTAGTTACCTATAAAGGAGAACCCATATGATTGTCAGCTGATTTCTCAACAGAAACCATGCAGGCCAGACGGAAGTGGCAAGAAATATTCAAGGTGATGAATAGTAAGAACCTACAGCCAAAGATAATCTATCCAGCAAAGCTATCACTCAGAATTGAAGGCCAGATAAAGAGCTTCACAAATAAAAAAAAGGTAAAGGAGTTCATCACCGCCAAACCAGAATTATATGAATTGCTGAAGGGGGTTCTTTAGGAAGAGGAAGAAAATAAAGATAAAAATTATGAACAACAAATATGTAACTATCAACAAGTGAATCTAAAAACCAAGAGAAAAAATCTGATGAACAATATAAACTGGTGAATATAATAGAATCAGAGGTATGGAAGGGGAGTGGACTGACAATTCTCAGGGAAAAGGGGAGCGGGGGGTGCGGGAAGAGACTGAACATAAACTGCACCTATGGATGAGGACAATGGGGGTGGGGAAAGGGTGGGTGGGGTGGGAATCTGGTGGAGAAGAAAAAAATGAGGAGCTTTTGTAATAATATGAACAATAAAGATTTATTAAAAAAAAGATGAGATCATCAACGTGAAAAAAAACCTATTGAAACCTGCATTTTTGAAATATATTAATATTTAAATGTTGACAATGTTTGGGGCTAATCAAAATATATCTGCAGACACCCACAGGTGGTTCATGGACTGGCATCTGTCTCCTGCTTCCTGACCCCAGGCCTCTCTCTGGTTCTGACACATTTGGCATTTTCCCAGGGACTGGGGAGAGAGGCTCTCTGTGCTGTGGGTCACACAGCGAGTTAGCGGCCGGCTGCTGCAGGCCTTCTGGGGCAGGGCCTGGAGGGCACCTCCGCCCCCAGCGCTGGCCATGGCTGGGGGAATGCTGCTGCTCTGCCTCCTCTTTCCTCTGGGCACTGAGGTTTTGATGTGGTTGGGTCATAGTGTGTGTACAATTGTGTGTGTGTGTGTGTGTGTGTGTGTGTGTACATGTATAATATATATATGTATGGGGGGGGGGAGAGATAGAGAGAGAGATTGAGGTTTCCATTTGTACCACATGATGAGCATTTCCAGGCATGTGAATGAGCCCGTGCCGGGCCTGACCCCATGGACAGGGCGCTCTGCCCTCTCTGCACTCCGTTCCCATGGCGCTGCAGGAGAGGCCGATGCCAGCTGCCGAGTTCCCCCTGACCTTCGTCTTCCAAGACACAGCCACAGCCCGAGCGCCGTGCGGGGCAGGCTCACGGATTAGTCTCAGTGAGGTCTGCTGGTGTGGTTTCAGGGCCGCCCCGCTGCCCTGGACATCCTCACAAATTAGGAAGATTAGAGGGTCTTTTTCAGACCTGTTAGTTGCATCCTCTGGATGAAAGAAACACTGTTTTGAAAGCCTCTTTTTGTAGCCAGCCCTGCCATTCCCATTGCTTTCCAAGTAGCGTGGGGCAGCTTGGCCTTGGAGGAAATCCTGAGGACTGAGAGGAGGAAGCTGGAGCCTGCCAGGTCCGCGGGCACTTCCCCTACCTCCCACACAAAGCAGCCTGCCTGGCATGAGGCGGGCGCACGCCTGTGACTCGGGCCTTGCTGGCTCCTGCCAGTGGCAGGTGGTGCTGCTGGCTTCTCGGTGATGCCCTCCGCCCTCCGAGGGGGCTTAGCTCTTCCTGTGACTTCCCCGGCGCACATGAATATTCATGTGCGGGGCTGAGGCCTGAAAGGGCCCTCAGAGAAGCCGGCGGACGCTGCTTGATCTTTCCGCCCTTGGTCCATCCCCCTTTCCTGCATTCAGGGACTTGCCCAGCATTTACTTGTCGGGGGTGAGGACATGGAGGGCAGAGCACACAGCCGCCTCGCTGCGAATCCCTGTGCCTCCAGGAGGAAGGCCGGCTGTCAGCAAGCCCTCCCGGGGACTGTGCCCCGCTGCCCGCTCTCAGCCAGGTTGTGGAGGGCGGCGGGAACATGTGGGAGCCAGGTTAGCTGAGGAGCGTGCGGTGCCTCCCGCAGGCACCTGTTCTTCCCTCAGAGGAGGGCCTGGCCTGGGCCTCTGGATGCTCTCAGGTGCTCAGAAAGCGTGAGGAGACTCCACGGATCACCTGTCTGGGAGCGGGGGCACGTGGGTCCTGGACGCGCCTAGGCTAAGCAGCTTGTCCTCGGTCACCTGGCTGATGTGGTGTCACAGGGTTCAAACTGAACTGTTTTCCATTTCCCATCCAAAGCTCTGCGCTGTGGCCAGGCTCCCCTCAGGCCCAGCCCATGGCTGCAGCACGGGCAGCATGTAGGATGCTGGTTTTTCAAGTTCTTGGCTGTGCTGTTGTTCAGCAGAATCTAAAGGGGAACAGCGCCCATGGAAACTAACCGGAGTGTCAGAAAAGGCTCCTAATCCAGGGCGGGTGCCTTGCCTGAGAGCGATGGCTCTCAGCAGAAGCCTGTCTGGAGAGCGTTTACCCAGCTTCAGGTCAGCGCGTTGGTGTAGAGAGCCCTTCCAGAAAAGTTGCGATGCTTCCTAGTAACCATAGTGATAGGAGGTTAGCGGTTTGGGGGAAGTAGTGTTTTCTGGTCCTTGTGGCCTGAGGGTAGGCCCGGAGGGAAGCGGGCCTTGGTGTCTTGCACATGCAGCTGTGGGAGTCGCTGCGGGCCTGCCTGTCAGTCAGGAGGGCACGGCCGGCTGGGCTGGTGGCGGTGACGGAGAGCTCCCAGGTCTGCCTGCTTGGGGGCAGCCTGGGTTCCCTCAATGCCTGGTCCTTACTTTGTATTGTGTTTTACTGTCTGCCTAGCAAATTTGTTTATTCTTGAAAACATGCTCAGATGCTCCAGCTTGGGCAGGCATGGTCAGCCCTGCCTCACCCCATCCCGTGGCCACCAGCTGCCGTGGCTCATCTGTGTCTTCCCTCAGAGGAGGGCCTGGCCTGGGCCTGCTGGGTGCTCTTAGGTGCTCAGAAAGCGTGAGGAGACCCCACACATCACCTGTCTGGGAGGCAAGGCTGGACCCATAGCTGTCCCTCCTTTCCGGCCTGTATGTCTGTGCTGTGGGCCTCACGTCCGAGGAGGGCGTGACCCAAAGCCTGCGTGCTCCAGGAGCTCAGCGGTTCTCCGCATCCAGGCTCCCACTCCAGTCACCGGGCAGCTTCTAAACATCAAGTGCCCTGTGTTCCCAGCACCGGAGTCAGACATCTACCTGGAACTCTGGAGGTGCTGCCGACCTCAGTATTCAAAGCTGCCTCTCTGGAGGGGAGATGGAGGCAGCATGAGGGCCTGTGGTTGCGTTCAGCGGTTCCCATCAGTCCCCAGGAGTTTCTGAGCTCCTGGGTGTCAGGCTCAGGAAAGCAGATGGCAGAGCAGAGCAGCCTGTTCCTGAGAACTCAGCTGTAGCTGGGAGTCAGGCAGACTCTCCCAGGAGCCAGGCAGGGCTGCATAGTCCTGTGAGGGCTCTGGCCTGGGTGTAGACAGGAAAGTAAGTGTACCCTGTGGCACACAGGATGGCGTGGAGGCAGTAGGGTAGAAACCGTGCCTTCCCAGCAGGTCCCATGTGTGCACACATACATGTACTCATACATGCACACAATACACACACACACACGGAATGAGCTGGGATGCAGCCTGGTCTGGACGCTGTGTTGTAAGCAGTTCAGCAGGATTCAGTGCTCAGATGATCACCAGGACTCCGGTCCCCGCTCCCTCCAGCCTCAGAGCTGGAGGGCCTGCTGTCTCAGGTGCCCGCCCCCTGTGCCAGGTCACAGCCCGGGGCCGGGGAGGGTGTCTGCGCTCTGTACTCTCCTAGGGTTTGCGTGAGGTTGGGGCTGGGGGCTTTGCAGAAGGACTGTAGCTGGTGAAAAGCCGCCCCTGCTGCCAGGGCAGGTCAGCCCTCAGAGGGACTGGGAGCAGGTGGAGTCCTCCTGAGGAGAGCGGGCCAGCCCTCCAGGAGGGATGGTGCTGGAGAGGACTGAGAGAGCCTCCTGAGGAGGGCAAGGAGGAAGGAGAGCAGCTCTGTCTGCAGGGGGTACGGGCCACGTGTAGGTCCCTCTGACCGAGCTTGTTCAGTTTTTACTGCCGCGGGGAGCAGTGTGTCAATTCCTCTGGCTGTCTCCAGGCCGGGTCCTCCCCGTGTCATTGTAGGGTCTCTGAAGACACTTCCCAGCTCTGAGACCTGCTGTCCAGCTGCCAGCACATCACTTCCTCCAGTCGAGATGGAAACCAAGGCCTGTGAGGCTGTGGTTCCAGCTGGGACCAGGTGCCGTGACCTGATAGGCCCTTGGTGCACCCGAGAGTGGCCTGGGGAGAGGGGCTCAGTCCCGAGCTTGTCCTGCGGGGGCTGGGAGACCAGGAGGGGCTTCTGGAGGCTGGGCTTGGGCAGCGGCAGGAGAAGCCCCAAGATCACACAGGAGTTGACGCCCGGAGTGAAGGACAGGCCCGCGTGCCCACGGGGCGGTGGGAATGAAGCTGGGAGGAGTATTCCCAGCTCGCAAGCTGGGAAGTAGTGAGAGCAGCGCGCTCCTGCCCTCCCTCAGCGGCTTGGGGCTGCGTGGTGAGTGCTCCAGAGGAAGCCGGTGGAGAACCAGGAAGAAGGGAAAGGTGGAGGGACTCGGGCCGGGGCGGCCGCTGCTGAGGGTGCCCTTCAGTGTGTTTGGGAACCGAAGGGAGGTCATTGTGGCTGGAAGCGTGGAGGCAGAGTGAAGATCTCTGGCACATCTGTGTGAGTTCCAGAAAAGTCGATATTTGACACGGGCTTTTTAAGGTGCTGCTTCTCAGCTCCAGGAAGCCTAGCGAATCATAAGCAGGACAAGAGAAATCCCCAGAAAGCCAGAGTCAGAGGACACCTTAAATGAACCCAGAGGAAGGGCAGCCAGACGACTGCTGGCCTCCGAGTGACAGCAGCGCCTGAGGACCACGGCGGAGCTCTCGGGCGCTCAAGGAGCCTCTGTCACCTGGAATCCTCCCAGCAACGCCCTCTACCCTCCAGGAGTCTGTTCTGTGCAGGTTTCCTTCACCAGTGACAGCGACAGTACCCTTCCGAGTGACGGAGCGAAGAGAGCCCGCTGCCAGCACGTCTGTGAGGCAGTGTGAGGGCTGTTTGCCGTGAGGGCAGAAAGCAGTGGGACAGGCGGGCATGGGGACCTCAGGATGGCAGTCGTGTGGAGGGACCTCTTTATGTTATTTATTTTTTAATCCTCACCAGAGGACATGCTGCGGGGGAGAGAGAGAAACATCGGTCAGTTGTCTCCTGCCCACCCCCTGGAGAGCAAGCCCCAAACCCGGACATGTGCTCTGACTGGGAATCTTACCCCCTGAGCCACACTGGCCAGGGGTGGGAGGAGAGTGTTACAGAACGTAAGAAAACACGAGCAGCGTGATTGCCGAGCCTGTGCGCTTGAAGAATACACATTATCTTCAGTTACTTCTTTGCCTAGCATATGAATCCTAACAAAAATTGATTATGGACTAGGCAAGGATGCTAGTTCCCACAAGTTTTAGAAAATAGGGGTTACATAGGATGTATTTTCTGACCATAATACATTCAATTTAAAAGTCAGTAACAAACAGATAACTAGGAAAACTCCATACACTTGACATTTTAAAACATTTCTAAATCCTTGGGTCAAAAAAGAAAATATGAAAATAAGAAATACTTAGAACCAAATAATATAAATATTTTCATATCAGAATTTGTGGGACAACTGGAACAATAGTACAAGGGAAATTTACTGCTTAAGGTGTTTACGTTCATCCAGAAGAAAGGCACAAAGTTAATGAGGTGACATTAGGGGTACATATCTACATTGGGTACATTGTACCCAAATGTGTGTGTACACATGTGTCTACACTTGCACAAATGTGTGTGCACATGTGTTTACATGTGCCTGAATGTGTGTATATAGGTACACATGTACCCAAAATGGAGCCTCACGCAACAGGATTGACCCTTAACTAGTTTGCTCAAGTGTTTTCTGTCCTTCAAAACCCGAGGTGGTGGCCACGGACGGGCTGTCGGTCGGTGACGGTGTTCCGTGCTGAGGCCGGGCCGTGCACAGGCGTCCTCACCTCCTCGTGCTGCTCTCTTTGGGCAGTTCCCTCCTTCAAAGGCAGAAACCGCTCAAGCAGGTGGGACAGCGCTCCAGCGGAGCCTGGTCCGAGGCTTGTGCACACAGGGAGGAGGGCCTGCCTTCACCGGGAGGCCTCTTGTCCGGAGGGCGGCAGGTTCTCGGCTGGTCCCTTCCGGAGACGGGGATGTGCCGGTGGCCTTGCCGGGCTTCGGCCCTGGCTTCGGCTCTGTCTGGCGTTGCTGGTGTGGGATTGCTCCCTTTGGGCGTTCACGGGCACAGACCCTCGTGTGGCTACATGGCCCTCTCACCCCAACTGCCCAGAACTTTGTGAGGCCTCTCTGAGCCCTACCCGCCTACCTCCAGGTGCCCAGCCAGCTTCCTCTGTGGACCCGTGGGGAGGGCCCCCTGGAACCAGCACGCACTCCAGCTCCACGAGCTCGGATTCCTGGGCGGCCCCGCAGCAGCCTGTCCACGGTGCCGAGAGGGCAGCGGACGCCTGGGCAGCAGCCTCCGCCGCCAAGCCTGCGGCCGCCTCTGGTGAGCCCGCCCTCCCTCCTCCTGGGTCCTGGGAGCCCCTCGCACCCGCACTCTCCCCCTCCTGCCTCCAGGCTACCTCCTCCCGCGCAGCCTCTGTCCAGTTCCCCAGCCACACCCCCTGGTGCGCTCACAGGCTCTGCTCCGCACCTCCTCCAGGGGGAGCCCGCGGGCCGTGCCGGGGAGGGGGGGGTTGTGGGGGGGATGATGGGCAGGCAAACACCCCCGCTATGCACCGGAGGCCAAGTTCAGTTCCAGCCCCCCGTGACCCTGAACTGAGCAGCCCCTTGCTCTCAGTGTCTCCCCAGAAGGGACGTGGGACATGGAGAGCCCCAGGTGCTCACAGTCCTGGCTTTGTGTTCACTCAGGGGCCTTCGATGTCTTCAGTAATGTGAATGGGACAATGAAAGATGACTTTTCCGAATTTGACAACCTCCGAACTTCAAAAAACACAGGTATGTGAGGGGGTGGTGCCAGAAAGTGCTGCCATTGGACGGGCCCGTGGACTGCGGAAATAATAGCAGCGTTCAGAGCCTGGCAACGCCATGCACTCTCTGCGCTTCAATCTGCAGCCCGGGTGTCTGATCACAGGAAACCACACACACAGTGGACAGTCCTAGCTGCGTTTCCTTTCTCCCTCTCCTTGTTCTGGCCCATGCTTCCTCTGGTCACCCCCCCCTAAGGCTCATGACTGCCCTAGGATCGCCCACCTTCATCCTCGCAGCATCCCACACCCCAAGGGGGCCAGCTTTTCCAGACTGCCCGCTCTGGGCATCCCCATGCCATCCCCAAGTTGCCCGTCAGACCCCCACCAGGAGACGCAGCATTAGGCTGCAGGCCCAGCTCTTCCCCAGATGCCCTGGCTGGGAGGGGCTGGGGAGGGGCAGGGGAGGGGCAGAGTGGCCTGGACGCACTCTCCGTACACCTCGGCGTGGAGCCTCTTCATGTCAGGGCTGCACCCGTCACACAGCAACTTCTCTCCTCTCTCTCCTCCTCAGCTTCTCCCTATTCTCCACTCCTCCCTCCACCTCTCTGCCTCCCCCTGCGGCAGCCATAGGCCTGGCTGGCCTGGTCTAAGGTACGAGCAGCTGGCCTCTCAGCTCGGGTCAGAGGCAACGCAGAATGTGCGCTTCGTGGGGTCGGTCTTTGCTGCGCGCAGAAAGCTGCAGGCCCCATGTGTCTGGTGCAGCCAGAGTGCAACCCCGCTGTCCCCTGCCGCCTCTGTGAGGCAGCGGCTGGGGGGAGGGGGGTCTCCGTGGACTTGCCCATCCCAGGCGTGTTCCCGTCGGAGGGAATTTGGAAAAGCTTATGGGGAGAAAATGGAAATCCCCTCTGATTCTTCCTGCCCTCAGCCACCGTTTCCTTCCAGTGCACCTCGGCTCTTAAGTCCAGTTCGCTCACACTGTGCAGTGGAACCCCTCCCACCCCCTCTTAGGGGACAGCAGACTGAGAACACGTTCTCATGACGTTGAGTCTGAGAAAAGATTTCTCATCTCTGTGCCCCTCGGCCCGCCAGCGGTGACGTCCACCTGCTTGGGGGGACGCTGGGTCGGCTGGTCTGCGGGGATAATGCTGCGGAGGGTGCTCCCGCGCCCACAGCGCACTGCTTCCCCGGCTTCCTGCAATGGGCACCGCGTGCGGGTGCCCATTCTCAGCCCCTGCACCAAGCGCCACCTTGCATCCCGGCCCAGCAGCACATGCCCACGGCCTGTCTCCGCACACCCTCCGAGCAAAAGATAATTTGCTCCCTTCTAGCTATCAAGAAACCCATGCTCATTGTAGACGTTTACTAGTAGAAAACGAAAACATTGCAAAAACAAACTGCCCTGCGTCGTCGCCAGCCCAGAGCAGCGTCTTCCGGAGCTCGAAGGACTGAGCTGTCTGCACTGTTTGTCCCGCCTCTCATTGGACGCAAGGAGTTGCTCTCCTCACCTGGGCCCTGTCCCTGCACGGGGGCTGGTGCCCGGAGGCAGGCTCTGACCTGCCTGTCTCCAGCTCGGGGCACTGGAAACAACCCTGCAATGAGCATCCCACCCCGCAACCCCACGGGGAGCTGCGGGTCCGAGCACGTCTGCGTGGCTCGGGGCGTCCTGGCGGGGACCTCCCTCCGGCTCACCGCGCTGTGCCTGTCATTTCTTGTAGCCGAGGCGGTGGCCTCTCTGCCTTCCCAAAAAAGCGAAACTACAAGCCCCGACCCCTTTGAGTCTCAGCCCCTGACCGTGACTGCGAGCAAGTCCAGCAGCGCCCGGAAGACCCCCGAGTCCTTCTTGGGCCCCAACGCGGCCCTGGTGAACCTGGACTCCCTGGTGACCAGGCCAGCCCCGCCGGCCCAGTCCCTCAACCCTTTCCTGGCACCAGGTAAGCGGCTTCCCAGCGCGCTCGGGCTGGCAGCTCCTCCCGAGAAGGGGCTGAGGGGGGTGAGACAGCAGAATCTGCCCCTGGCCTGTGCCCAGCCGGGGAGAGCCTAAAGCAGGCGCCCACCCGTGGTGCTGGGGGTGGGAGTGCAGTTTGCAATGTCACTGGGCCCTTAGCTGGGCCATCCTTGGGGACCCAGGGACCCTTCTGGGTTCTGTCTTCCCTGAGGCTGGGAACTCCGCCCGCCCTCCCCTCCATTCACTCTCCCTGCGGGGGGTGGGAGGGTGGGAGGGAGGTCTGTGTAAAGACCTGCGCTGCCCCCACCCTCGGGGCTCAGGCCCTCAGCGCCCAGCTGCTGACACTCCTCATGCGGACGCCCTGCCCCCCTCCTCCCATGGCAGTCCCGTCTGTCCCTCAGTCCATCCCAGACCACACTCCCGGGACTCCCCTCCCTCCCCACAGAGTTCCCCGAGGGCCTTGGGCCCCCTGAGGGCAAGGGCTTGTCACCTTCAAGGAGTTCAGCCCCTGACCTGTCCGCGGTGAAGGGATCTGAAGGCTGGACTGCAGCCCCCGATGGGACCTGCAGAGAAGGACCAGGACTTAGGGGCAGGGGTTGGGGGTCCTGGGCAGAAGTGGGGGTGGGTGGGAGCCTTGTTCCTGCCACCCTGCGTCCCCCAGGAGGCGATTCCAGGGCCCCTTGCTCCCTGGAGCTAGATCAGAACCCAGCTTCCTGAGCAACATGAACTCTGTCCCTACCCCAGAAGGCCGCCTGCCAACCTGCCCAGAGCCCGGGCGGCCGGAGTCCCACTGGCGCCTGCCAGGCTCTCAGGAAGGGCTCGCCGTCTGCAAACAGGCCTGTCTCCGAGGCCAACAGGGGCCTGGGCTGTTATTGGTGGGGTCAGGCTCCAACCCTTCTAAGCTAAGCCTCAAGCGAGTCCGTCCTGTGCTGGAGTCTCGGTTCAGGCGTATCTCACGGGGATCTCCCCTGTAGTCACAGGGCGGGCTGATGAGGGGCGTGGGGTGCCCTCCTGAGCAGGAGCCGGGTTGCCTACGCTTGGGCAGAGGATCGGCAGATGTTTTACTAAAGGAGAAGAGGCTTTCTGATGTGAGACAAATTCCGGAAAGCCTGGGAGAGACAGAGCAGCATCAGTCTCTTGCCTGCAGGACTTCTCAGCCTTCGGAGAAGGGCACAGCGTGGGGAAGGCCACTCAGGCCACGCACTGTGGCTCCCGCCTCCCTCCTGGCTCTTCTCCCTCCCGGCACCCGTTGTCACAGGGCAGCCCAGTGGTTGGCTGCTGAGGAGTCCTGGCCAGCCCGTGGCGGAGCTGGCCTCCAGCCTGGCACATTCCTGGCACTGCCTCGTTTAGGCTGTGGCCTCGGACAAGTCGCTTGGCCTCTCCAGGTGACAGCCGCAGTCTCCTCGTCCCAACAGTGGATCGTCCAGCAGACGTGTCCCCAGAGGCTCTGCGGCCCAGCAGGGACCGGGGCGCCCAGCCCTGGCCTGGGGACGGACGCTGTTCTGACCCACTCTCTCTGCTCTCCCAGGTGCAGCTGCGGCTTCGGGCCCCGTCAACCCATTCCAGGTGAACCAGCCCCAGCCGCTGACACTGAACCAGCTGCGGGGGAGCCCCGTGCTGGGGACCAGCGCGTCCTTCGGGCCTGGCCCGAGTGTGGAGCCCATGGCTGTGGCCTCCATGACCTCCACAGCCTCACACCCAGCCCTGGGGGCCAGCAGTTCCTCCCTGGCGCCACTGGGCCCTGCCACAATGAACATGGTGGGCAGCATGGGCATCCCCCCAGCGGCAGCTCAGGCTACTGGCACAACCAACCCTTTCCTTCTCTAGTGCCCAGGCCTGGGACCACCCAGAGCAAATGCCCAAGCGCCTGTGCCCAGGACGCCAGCAGGACTCACTACAGAGTGGTGTCAGGGCCAGGGGGTCGGTTCCAGTCTGCTTCCCGGTAGAAGGGTCTCCTGTGCGGTCCTGTCCTCCGGCGTGAGCAGGCCGGGCGTGCTGAGCCTCAGATCGGGAGGGGCTCTGCGCACCTTCTGCTGCCTGCTCGCCCTGACCCAGCCGGCACCCTCCCGCCTCCGGGCAGGATCCTGGCTCCTGGGGTCGCCTGGCCCTGCAGGGCCTTGTCGGGGCCAGGAGTCCTCAGTGCTGCCCTTGCCGTTAGCCTCAGCCGGAGGGTCTCCGGGACACGGCCTCGCCCAGGACCTGGGACGGCCTTGTCTCTGCCCTGCGCCCCGGCCCTGCCGCCAGGTCGGGTGGGAGGACGTGCTGGCTCCTCAGACAGACCTCTGGGGAAGTGGTTGTGCATCTTCTTTGACTCGTGTGTGAGTTCAGAGGAAACGCCCCTGGGACGACTCGCGTTCAGCTGCCAGAGCGAGCTTTAAACTAACCTGGCGTAACCGCCACGCGGCTCGAGGCTTGTGTACGTTTGCACATGTTTTGTTTAGTGCCCTTTCATATTTGCGTTTGCAGAATTATCTAACAGTCCTTTTTGGCTAATATTTTTATAACGTGGTTCTTATTTAACTGTCTAGTTTTGATAGAATTTACCAGGTCTGGCTGAATTAAGATATTGGCACATGTTATGTTAGTAGTTTCAATTCTCTTATTTATGGTTTTAACTCTATAAGAAAATTTAAATAGGAAGAGACAAAAAAATGCCTTATGGAAAACTAAAGCAAATTCTTTATAGGAAAAAAATGTGAGAGTTTGATGACACTTAAAAGATGATGTTTATTTAAAAAAACACTACAACAGCAACAAAAAAACTCTAGCCTCCAGTTGCCTTTTCCTTTAATCCCCTTTTTTGGTAAATTACCAAACTGATTAACTTTCAGCCTTTTCGGCTAGATGCTAAAAAGAAACTATTTTTCTTACTGATACACCAGCATCAAGAAAGTTAAGAAAAAAGTCTGCTGTCTGAATGTGACTCTCAGTGTTATCAGCTGACCCCTTTTTAACTGGGCGGCACGGTCAGCGGGACTTCCCTCACGGTGGGAGCGTGAGGTGGAAGAGACATCCCGGACCACTTGTCTGTGATCTCCTGTCTGATTCTCGCTCAGGTAAAGGGGGGCGGGTGTGGAGATGGCAGGTGGCTGGGGCAGTGGCACCCTGGGGCTTGTGGCTGAGATGGGCGAGGGACCAGGGCTGGCCCTGACTCTAACTCCAGACACAGCACAGACTTAGAATCCATCATCTCTTATTTTGGAGAAGAAAACCATCCTCACCCAGGATAGACGTTAACAAACGTGCCCTTAGTTACCTCCCTCCCCCTCCCGCGCCCCTCACCCAGCCTCCACGATGAACAAGTATTAGGTCATAAACCACGGACCAGAACAGACTGCCTTTCCTAGGGAGGGCATTTTCCCTCCCATTCCACCGGGGGTACCCCGGCCTCACCCCAGGGCAGCAACCACCGCCAGCCCTCTGAGCGGGCCTCGGCCCCTGCCTGCCTCTCGGCCTGGAGAGAGACACAGGCCACGTGACTGCCCCGGGCCCCTCGCGTTTCCTGCTTCCTGTCACCAGTGCTGCTCCCTGAGGCTCCGGGCTCAGGCCGGGCCTGGGGTGGGAGAGGCAGTGGCCTGGGGCAGGTGCTCCCCCAGGTGCGGCCTGGCTGCCTCCCAGCCCCCAGCACGGTGATGCCGCTGCTGTACGGCCCAGGACACCCGGACGTCTGCCCAGCACGGCTGTCACTCTGTCAGCTGCCTGCACTGATCATGCCACTGCCAGCCGCTGGCACGCGAGCTGCACACAGGCCCTTGCTCCCCCCTGAGGGCTCCGGGTGGGTCCCCCGCCGTTTTCTCAGCCCCAGGGGCCGGCAGCTGGTTTTGAACTTGTGTCACTATTGATATTTACTGTATAAATATAATTTATCATTTGTATCATGATGCGGTCTCTGGCTGTGTCCTTTGCCCTCCCCCGTCTTTATCAGTACCTGACACAGGAGGGTGGGCAGGCTGTGGAGGCAGGTCCTGGCCAGAGGAGCTGGAGGCAGGGAGGTGGAGGTGCGGCTGGTCCTTCCCTCACTGGGTCTTGGGGGTGCGCTCCATGCCACCGAGCTGCCCCTTCAGAGCTGCCAGCCAGCCGCACCCTTAGGGTGACTCACGGCCACCGGCTGGAGGCTGGTGCAGGGCCCTGTCCCCTTGCAGGACCTGAGATCGGAAGAGGAAGAGTACAGCAAGGGCCGTGAGGGGCAGGGAGCACAGGGGCGGTGGGGAGGGCGCTGGGCAGGCCTGTGCTGCTCTTGGGAGGGCCTGGCCCAGCCTCTGCTCGGGGCTGCCTGCCACCCACCTTTCCGTGCTGAAGCCCGGGCCTTGGACCCTCAGGGAGCAGGACTAAACAGGGCCTGGCTGGGTTTGCAGGGCCTGCAGCAGTTGGGGATCCACTCAGGACAGGTGGGGGGCCCGGGCTGCTCTCCCAAGACATGTCTGGGGACCTTGGCGGCTTCTGTCTGTGACACCGCTCCTTCCACCAGCAGAAAGGGGAGGGGAGGCTCCTGGGGCCAGGCCTGCAGCACATGGCTTTCTCGTCCCACGCCGATCTGTCTGGGCTCTCGCAACCGGAGGAGGGAATGCAGGCTCCTTGTGCCCAGGGGACCGGAAGTGGGTCTGGCCAGTCAGTCACATGGCCCTCTGGCGTCACCACATACTTCACCGTTTCCCCCACGTGGATCACCCCCCCATGGAGCGGTCCGTGGCCCCATGCAGTCAGTCACTGTGGGGCCCAGCTGTGGGGTCGTTAGCAGCAGCAGGTAAGGAGCCTCCCAAAGCCCTCCCAGCAGCCTGCTTCTCTGCTCCTCACCTTTCGCCTCGGAGCCAGCGGCCAGGCCGTGCCGTGTGCAGCCACCGCCAGTGCCCTGCTCCTGGGACCTGCCAAGCCCAGCGACCTGCCCGTCAGATCTCACGAGGCTTTACGGCCAACGCCTGCTTCAGGCTCAGCCCTTCCTGCTTTAGTTCTAGGGGTTTCCTTTGTTTTGGATCCTCTTCATTTCCGGTCACTTCCGCTTGCAGACTGGCCACTTGGCTGAGCACACCCCTTTGCGGTGGCAGCTTTCCAGTGGCCCCACACCTGCCTCCAGGCGAGCACAGCAGAGTCTGTGTCTGTCCTGCCGCCCAGGGTCCCGTCCGCCTTCCTGCCCACCACCCTCCCGCCGGCCCACACACACCGGCTGGTTTGGTCAGATACCAATTGCCACGTCAGAACGGAAGAGGTTCCTGCTGGCCGAGTGCCATGTCCGGCGGAACATTCCGGCAGCGCCCTCGCGATGTACCGTCTTCACCCGCCGGCCTCGGCGCCGTGGGAAAGGAAGGGTGAGGGTATCGCCCGGGGGGTTTAAGGGTCAGATCTCTACCTGGGAGCACCCTTCCCACCCAGAGTTTCCGAGCCAGCTGGGCCCAGGGGCCCACGTGGACGCAGGGCCTGGGGGTGCAGACCCCATCGGCCAGGAGAGGAGGCGGCCTGCGACGGCTTCCTCACGGGGGCCATGTGCCCTGGCTGTTCACGGTCAGGGGTGGGGAGCCTTTCCCTGCCAAAGGCCATTTGGATATTTAACATCATTCGTGGGCCATACAGAACTATCAGCTTAAAAATCAGCCTGCTCTGTTCGGTCAAACGTTTAACTAACAAACCCTTCCTGCCTTGGCAGGGCCAGACCAAGTGATTCCTCGCAGGCCTGCCGTTCCCACCTCTGGTGCAGCCGGTCACAGATCCCGCCCCTCCTCACTCCCGGGCACAGCGTCCCTCACCGATATTCCCGATGGCACAGGCAGCAGGCGCCGGGGGTGGGGGCACTGCCACGGCTCCACAGGCAGTCCCCTGAGGTGAATGCATTTCATGACAAACGGCACGCTCTGGTGGCGACCAGCAGGCTGGCGTGTGCAGGGCGTGCCCGTGTCCGGCAGGCACTGAGGAAGGGAAGGCCCCCGGAGGTGAGCGGGCAGAGGGCACACCAGGGAATGGGGACGGGAGACAGTGTGCGATGGTGCTCACTGCAAAGGTATTTCAACTTTCCTAGGTCTAAACGTTTTAATATAAAAAGTTGAAAAGTAGAAAATTAAACAGAAGCGAATGAACTGCTGTGCTGCAGGCCGGCTCTGCAGCCTGAAGCTGCACTGGACGGTCTGGCTGTGACAGGAATGGGCGCTGTGAGGGGCAGAGGCCTGGAGCAGGTGGGGCCCAGCGCGTTGGCGTGGCTGTCCCATAAGAGGGCGCGAGGAGGCGGGGCAGGGCCTCAGCCCAGGCATCTCTGCCCAAAGGTAGGGGCCACCAGGAGCTCTGATCGCCCATTTCCCCGTGAGCATTTCAGTGAGGGCGAAGGAGGTTGGAGAGCAGAAAGGGGGTGAGTGAGCTTCCGCAGACGGCGAGGGGCTGAGGAAATGGGGGAGGAGGGGGAGGGTTGGCGGCAACGGGAGGGAGGCCTGGCTGTGGACACGGTGCGGCAGCCCTCGTGTGGCCGCTCTGCCCGGCCCTGGTCCTCAGCAGGCGGCCCCGGGCTCCCGGGCCCAGGCTGCCAGACGAGAACAGAGCCGGGGAGGGGGGCTGAGGGTGGGGTGGGCCTGCACCATCCACGGTGAGCAGGCGGAGTCCGCCCGGCCCACCCGGGGCAGGGGGGGGCGCCTGCCCGGGGGTGAGGGCGCTGCCTCTGCTCCCTCAGGCCATCCGTCTGCTGTGAACCAATAAAAAGTGTACCTATGGTTTTTGTCAAATAGTTACCTGTGGGTGGCCATAGAATTTTAGAATTGGTTCCTGTGCTATGGGGTAAGAGAGGTCTCCGAGCCTGGCGTGGGCAGGGGGAGCGAGCCCCTCCCAGCGGCGAGGCCTGCCCGCGGGCAGCAGCACCGCCCGGGGACTCCCAGCGGGCGAGGCAGGGCCCTGGTTTTAGGGTCTCGCCAAGTCTGGCGCTTTCGCTGACACCGCCTGTCACCACAGCGACCCGATGCATGTCAGCACGGCCGCGCCAGACGCCTGTCACCAAGATGCCCTCCTTGCTCGCTGGCTCGTTGTTAATCCACCGAGGATGGTTTCCCGTTGGTCTTTAGGGAGTGGAAGGATGGGGGAGAGAACAGCCACGTGAGACACACCGTGGTTGCTTCTACACGTGATCCCGGGATCCAGCCTGTAACCGATACGTGCCCTTGAACTGAACCTGGGACCATTCAGTCCACAGACCCCCATTGTGCAACCGAAGCACACTGCTAGGGCAGATCTCTGTCGCCTTCACAATAAACCTGCAGCCTTATTTGAAAGGGGGGAGGGGGGTAATGACTGAATTTTTAAAAATATATTTTATTGATTTTTTTATAGAGAGGAAGAGAGAGGGATAGAGTTAGAAACATCGATGAGAGAGCAACATCCATCAGCTGCCTCCTGCACAGCCCCTACTGGGGATGTGCCCGCAACCAAGGTACATGCCCTTGACCGGAATCGAACCCGGGACCCTTCAGTCTGCAGGCCGCCACTCTATGCACTGAGCCAAGCCGGTTTTGGCATGACAATCCTTGATTGGGATATATCCCAGGCGGAAGGAAAGGCCGGCTAGTGCACCCGGCACGGGCGGGTGGGCCTGAGGACCCGGATGGAGGGCGGGCTGGAGGGGGACACAGGACAGGAACTGGCCCCCCCCGGGGGGGACGCTTGGATACACATTTTGGAGAGGATTCTCGCTGGTCACGAGAACAGGCTCTGACCGTGGTGGCTTCAGAGGACACAGGCCAATTCACTGCCAGGCTGAGGACAAGCGGGCAGCGGCGTTGCCATGACAGCTGGAGAAGACCAGGCGCGCCCTTTGAGGACATGAGGTGAGGCCAGGGGCGGGGGCCGCGGTGGAGGAGGGAGTGCTCACGGGGAGCAAGGGCACGGAGCCCATGTCCGAGCCGGGCCGTGGAGCCGCAGGGCCGGCGGAAGGCACTGTCCCATCGGCAGGATCGGCGGAGCCGCTGGAGGAGCTGCAGAGCGCGGCGAGGGGGGCGGGGACCGGTGCCCAGAGCCGGGGCCCGGGCGGGACGGCCTTCCGTGGTGAGGACAAGCCCACCGCAGCGGCCGCAGAGCCCCGGGGCCGGAAGCAGGCACCGGGCTCCCCTGGAATCCTGGGGTGCCGCCTGGGCATGGCCCACCCACCCCACCCCGCGGGAAGCCGGGCCTGTGGGAGGGGAGGAGGCCTGGCCTGGCGGTGGCAGGTGGGACGGCGCCTGGAGGCCTCCCTCAGCCCGGGGAGCTGGGAGGCAGCCAGGGCTGCGGGGCAGGTGGAGGGCGGGCGGGCGGGCGGGGCCCCTCCCCACCTCTCCTAACGGTATTGTCTCTTCCCCAAGGAAGGCTGGAGGTGGACGTGACGGGGGCAGCAGTGGGAAATGGCAGCTCCCGCCCGGCTCAGGCCGCGGGGCAGTGCTGAAGGGGCAGGAGGCAGCCAGCCTGGGTTCTGTGACAAAGCAACCATTTATTTTATGAAAATCCCGCCCCCCAGGCACTGAGGCAGGTGGCTGGGCGGCGCTGCCCGTCGGAGAGGGGCCGCTTCACGGGGGGAGGCCCTGGGGCAGGCTGGGCCCCAAGACGCCCTGCGTGTCCGAAGGCCCCGTGTCGTAGCCCAGCTTCCTCGTGTCCTTGGTCACCACGTTGAAGAGCAGAGTGACAAAGCCCTGGGAGCGGACGCGGGTCACTGGGGGCAGAGGGGAGGTCAGCGCCGGGCAGACAGCCGGCCGCTCGGAGCTGTGGTCACCGGCACGTGGAGGCCGGGCCGGGCAGAGCGGCAGCCCTGTGCTCCCACCAGGCTGTCTGGGGACGCCCGCAGCCAGAACCCGCCCCCCCCAGCCCTCGCCTCTCCGTGCTGGCGGGTCCTGGCACCCCCAACTGTCCCCAAGGGGTCACCTCGCCTTCCAGGCTCCAGCCTGTCTCAGGGCCGGGGTGGGGTTGGGGGTCAAGCTTTACCTTCCCGGCCTTCACCCTGGGCCACCACCTTGGGGTCCGTGTACTCAGGCCGCCGTCCCATGAACCAGCTGAGAGACAGGACGCGGGGTGAGCCGCGGTCCCGGCCACAGACCACTGGCCTCCCAAACCGCAGCCTCCCCGCTCCCCCTGCCATGCCCCCCACCACGGGGGCAGGCCTGTCTGAAGGCAAGGCCACCCCGGGGCCCTGGCACCCACAGCCCACGGCCCCGCACTAGCCGCCGGGCGGGCTGCCTGCCCTGGGGGTCACAGGCCCCGAGTGGAAGGCACGAGGCGCCATGGGTGCGAGGTTCTGCGTCCTGAGAGGCCTGTCCTCAGCCTCCTGGACAGCAGCCGGCCTGCAGGAGGGGGCTCCCCAGCTCAGCCACCCTGGCGCCCACGGCTGCCAGCTCCGCAGGCTGCGGAGGCCCCGCCCTTGGAAGGGGACAGGGAGGGAGCCGGAGTCCGGCTCCAGCTGGGACTGACAGGTGTCACGCTCTGTGCCTCAGTTTCCCCATCTGAGGAGTGGGGTGAAGGCGCTGGCCGGGGGTGGGGGGTGGAGGGGGGCACAGGGCCAGGTGCAGGGAGCCTGACGGCAGACATGTCTCGGGTTCTGAGCCTCAGGAGCCTGTCCTCGTGGCCGAGACCAGCGGAGGGACTGTCCCAGGCTGGTGCTGGCCCGTGAGTGCAGCCTCGTCGGGAAGACGGCACCTCGCACGGTGGCGGGAGCTGAGCACGGGCACGCTTCGGCCTCCGAGTCACAGAAAGGTCCCGTGAGAGGCAGGGACCATTGAGAGGCTGTGAGAGAGAGGCTGTCACACGGTGACAGCCGTGACACCGCCGGCCGGCGGAGGCCTGCGCTTTGGGGTTCGGAGCCGGAGGGGACCCTGCGGCGTTGGGCCCTCCAGGTCGTAGTTTGGTCGTGGGGACCACAGGGAACACTGGGTGGAAGAGAGTGCAAACCGCAGGCCAGGGGAGCGGAGGGCGGAGGGCGGAGGCCGGGGAGAGCCGGGCACTGAGAACGCCAGGGGACCGGGCAGCCCAGGTCTCGGCCTGAGCGAAGGCGGCTGCTGAGCTGGGCCCCCGGAGGTCTGCCTTCACCCTCAGACCGCCCGCTGGGCCTGCCCAGCCCGGGCTCCTGCACCGAGGCAGCCCCTGAGCTGGGAGCCGGGGCGCAGCAGCGCCCCCCGGCGGGACGGCTGTGCTCTCACACCCTGGACCTTCCTGTGCCCGCTGCCGGGCACTGCCTGCTTCCCAGCCCAGGGGACGGTGTGGCCCGCCCCACCCACCAGGGCGGCCTCCGAGGCGGCACCCAGACTCTCCCCTCCGTAGGCTCAGAACTCACGAGGCCTGCTCGGGCTTGGTCCAGTGCAGCCCCGGCCCGGCCCAGCCCCAGGGTCCCGCTTCCGTGTGCCCCTAGGTGGGCAGCTGGGCGGCCTGGCAAGGCCCCTTGGCACAGAGAGGGCAGATGTGGCAGGAGGAGGGATGGGCCGACGTGTAGAAAACCCACCTTGTGAACTTCTGCAGCTTCGATGTGGACTCCGGGACGAACATGGGGATGGTCCTCTTGTGTCTGAGCAGAGGGGAGAGGTGCCGAGGGCCAGAAGCCACGCCGCTGCCGGAGCCCCCGCCGAGTGGGCAGCCGGGACAGCGGGCAGCGCACCGATGGGCGTGTGCGGCACGAAGCCAGCCCAGCAGAGCTGTCCCTCTGAGCCTTTGTTCTTTAAGCGTCAGGATGCTGAGGCCCCGCGCCCACCTGCGCCTTGGAGAGGCTCCCACTGTCCCCCAATGTCCAGTGCTCTGCCCTCAGGTGGTGCAGGAGCCTGCACACCCTGGCCCTCGGCCCCGCCCTCTGCCTGCCCAGCCGGCTCACCCTCAGGCCCGGGGCCTGTCCCCCCTCCTCTCTGGGCCCTTGTTTTAACAGAACTCAGAGCAGCAGCCCGGCGCCCCCTCTCTCGCCTTCCCCAGACCCACGCCCGTCCTCCAGGCCAGCAGCCTCAGCCTGCTCTGTCCAGCCCTGCCTGCCCCCTCCCCACGCCAACGGCGCGGCTGCTCCACAGCACGGCTCCGTGTCCTCTGCTGCCAGGGGCGCTGGGCTGAGGCACCAAGGGAGGGGGAGATGAAGGGCCGAGTGCACTCCGACCCTGATGCCCAGGCCCCACGGAGTGGGCGCGGCCCCTCAGGGTGCCAGCACCCCCTCCACCCCGTGGTGTTCAGCTGGCAGCACGGACCTCGTCCACTTAGGCCCCCTTCCACGTATGAGCTGCCAGAACCCCGGGCAACAGCACATGCCTGGCCTGGAGGTGAAGTCCGTCCCGGAAAGGCCCTGCTGATGCCCGAGCCTCAGGCGGAACGGCCCAGCGACGGCCGGCTGGCCGGCCGGCGGGAGAGGGCGGGCCTACCTGCCGGGCGAGAAAGGCACGTGCACCGCCCCGTAGCCGCGGACCACGTCGTTCCCGAACACGTCCGGTCCGTACACGCTGAGCACGATCTGCGGCCCTGGGGGGACAAGGCCGGTCAGCAACGGGGACCGCGGGGGAGAGGCAGGCAGGGGGGGCAGGGCCTGGCAGCAGGTGCAGACCTGGGGCCCCTGCAGCCCAGGTCCCGGTGAGGGAACCAGAACCTGCAGGGCAGGCCCCTTGCTTGGCCGACGCCAGAGTCAGAGCCGGGTGCTGCCCACGCCTGTCATTAGACACATGCAGTGGCTCTGGAGCCCTTCAGGGACGGCCAGGAGGCTGGTTTCTGTCTGGGGAGACGGCAGGGAGCAAGCAAAGGCCTTCCTGCACCTCCCTTTGCATATTAGTTAATTATGCCCAGACCAGCGGGGCTCGGTACCAAAAGGTTGCTGGTTTGATTCCCAGTCGGGGCACCTGCCAGGGTTGTAGGCTTGGACCCTGGAAAGGGGTGTGCAATATGCAGCTGATGGATGTTCACTCTCACATTGATGTTTCTCTCTCCCTCTCTTCCTTTCTAAAAATCAATACAGAATATTAACAATTACACCTGTTTCCTATTCACATCAGGCTTCTCCTCACGGCCGCTGATGATGGCAGTGGGGCTGGCCTGGCGGCCACCAGCACTACTCGCAGGCAACTCCCGCCTCCCCGAGGCCTGGACCAGGGCCTGAGGCTGTCAGCAGGAGGCCTGTGCTCTCCTGTCACTGCCTTAGAGCTCACCACTACCAGAGCTTCATGAAACCACTCTAAGGTTCCCTGCCAGAGAATGCTCCCAGCAGGCAGGGCCTCTGGTTCTGTCCCCTTTACTGAACTTTCTGGAAGTGACTCTTTGTATCCTCTAATGCAGCGTGTTTGTGAGACTCACTCTCCCTGAAGTCGGCTGGAGACCTCGTCCTGGCTCTTGGCCTATTTGTCTCCTGCCCTTTTGCCACAGGACGGTCTTTCTCACAGGTTTGGAATGTGTGTGAAATCTGCGCTCTCCTCACTCTCTGACCGGAAGTCAGCAGGGCTGAGTCATCTGGGACGGCTGAGGGCATTTCCCACACCTGAAAGGGATGCACTAAATGATTGCTTGCTGCCAGACAGCTCAGGGCATCTTAATCTACATGCCATTGCCTCCTGTTGGCCAAACTCCTGAACAGCCGTAGGCAAATTCTTCCATTCTGACAATGGACCCAGTATAGGGAACCCCACCATTTGATGTGTATATCTACCTCACCTTACAACAAACGGTGTTAATAAAAAGCAAGGGGTCCTGAGACGAGAACTTAGTTCCTTTAGCTAAGTCTTCTCTGACTCCCTATAATGCCTTTCAAAATTATGTTTCGTCTTTGGACTCTTGATTAATTTATGCACAGCCCTTCTCCAGATTGCTGAACCCTTTATTTTAAAAAAAATCTATTTCATTGATTTTTTACAGAGGAAGGGAAGAGCGATAGTTAGAAACAATGATGAGAAACACCCATCAGCTGCCTCCTGCTCACCCCCTACCAGAGATGTGCTCACAACCAAGGTACATGCCCTTGACCGGAATGGAACCTGGGACCCTTCAGACCACAGGCTGATGCCTCTATCCACTGAGTCAAATCGGTTTCGGCTGCTGAACCCTTTTATAATAGATGCTGGATCAGAACCATCGGTATTAGCCTGCACCCTTCCCAAGGCTCCCGTCCCGTGGCCTGGCGCCAGTGCTGTGCTGTCCTGAAGGAAGCTGGTTCTCCCCGCTGGCATGAGCTGGAATCAGTGTGTGTGACCAGAGTGGGGTCTGCTTTCCTCCTCCACCCTGTGCACATCCGCCCATCCCAGCACCACTTAGGACTCTCATTCTCACACACAGACTCTCCCTGCGGCTGGGCAGTGCCAGGTCCGATCAGCTGCCGGCAGGTGCCAGCTCTGTGGGCCAGCTCTGCCTCAGCACTGCACTTTGTAATCAAAGCTTCACATCTGGTAGCACCAGTTGTATCTTGATATTTTACGTATTTCACTTTTCAAGTTATCATTTTCTATTTGTTATACAGAGTAGAATATTTATGTATTCTATTTATTCTTACACAAAAAGCAACTGATTCTTTATTAATCTTATCAACGGCATGCATGACAATACACTACCTCTAATAATTTATTTGTAGGTTACTTTGGAAATTCTACATGATCCTGTCACCGGGGGTAGTTCTGTTCTTCCTTCCTAATTCCTATGCCCTTCATGTGCACAGTGTTGGCGATAACAAGCACCCTGATCTCAGAGGGAGATCATTCGACAGTTCACTAACAGTGATGTTTCCTCTAAGTTTTTGTAGTTAGCCTTTACGGATTAAGGAAGCTTCACTTTATTCCTACTTCGCTAAATATTTATCATGGATGTTCACTGTCACATCAATGTTTCTCTCAGTGAGGCCCAGTGGTTGAGCATCAACTCATGAACCAGGAGGTCAGGGCTTAAATTTCAGTCAGGAAACATACCCAGGCATCTTGTCATTGCTCAGTCTCCAGTAGGAGGCGTGCAGGAGGCAGCTGATCAATGATTCTCTCTCATCATTGAGGTTTCTCTCTCTCTTTCCCTCTCCCTTCCTCTCTGAAATCAATAAAAAGAATGGATATTGAATTTCATTACACTTCACTTATGGGGATGATCACGACTTTTCAGTGTGGTAGATCACACCAGTTGATTTTAGATGCTGAGCTTTGTATTTTTAAAATAAACACTCCTTGCTCGTGTGTTATCATCTTTGTACCCTGCTGGTTCCGTTTGTGAAGATTGTGTTTGGCCAGGTCTGGAACGGTGTGGGTCTGTGGGGCTGGCCTGCCTCCTTTCCTCATTCCAGGCCCAGCTCTCCGAGGTCTTGGCCCAGGTTGGAGGACTTACCCGAGGCCAGCACCCAGCCTTCCAGCGTCTGCACACGCTGCTTGGGCCCTGATCCAGGGAGGCTGGCAAGTCTCGATACCCTGGCCAGCTGTGCTCAGTGGGTGGAGTACCAGCCTGCACACCAAAGGGGTCACGTTTGGTTCCTGGTCAAGGCATGTACCTGGGTTGCAGGTTCACCAATCGATGTGGCTCTCATACAGTTGTTTCACTCCCCCACCTGCTTTCAGTCGCTTGTTGGACTGGTTTCCTCCTAGATCCTGGCCTGGTAACTCACTGCTCTGCTCGTTTGCCTTTCCATGTTTCTCTGCCTCTCCTAGCCGTCCTCAGCAAGAGGGGGCTGTCACTATCCAGGCCGCGGAGGGAGCGTGGGAGTTTCTTGCTCGCGAGGATGAGGGCAGGAGGCCCAGGAGGGCTGCAGGCAGCTGCTCCAGCCCCCGCCCGGGAGCCGGCCTGGCCGGTGCAGCAGGAAGGCCGAGCGGCTGCATGTAAGTCATGCTTAGCTGCAGGGTAAGGCTGGAAGCAGGAACGGCTTTGTGTGTTTCCGAACGCGAGGTTAGAACGGAGAGTGCTGTGCCCACGCAGGACGGGCCCACCAGGCAGGGAGACAGTCACGCCAGCCCCGGCCTTGCACACAGCAGGCGGGAGGATCCTGTAGACAAGGAGCTCCGGAAGGGGGTCAGAAGTAGGATGTGGGGAAGGGTTCTGGGCAGGGAAAGCATGAAGAGGCCACGCCAGGCACTGCATGGAGGAGCAGGAGTTGGGGGTCCTGAGCACAGGCTGTGCGGAGGCCAAGGCAGCACCCAGCACCCAGATCCCGCAGCCTGCGCCTCGGCTCTGCCCTTCACCGCAGAGCGGCCCCGGCTTCAGGTCCTGACTCTCTGGACCTCGTGGAGGTGAACCGGGGTGGGAGGAGGAGGAAGTGGAGGGAAAGGGCCAGCTGGCACATATGAGGCTGGTACGAGGCCCAGCTGATGGACGTGGTGGGCAGGAGGCTGAGGCTGAGGCTGAGGCTGCCCTGGGGTGCCCCCCCCCCCCTGCTCCGTCCCCGCGGCCCCGCAGACTCACAGCCGAAGGGGTTGGTGCTTTTGAAGGTGATGTCGATGGGGAAGTTCCACACCAGTGCGTGCGGCACGTCGCGGCTCCTGGACGTGATCTGGGAGATGCCCTCCTCCAGGCCCTGCGGACGGACACGGCCTGGGTCCCGCCGGCAGCCAGGCCCCTGCCGCCGGCCCCCGTGCCGGGCGGGCTGCCGGGAGGGCTGTCTTTTCACCATCTCCTGCCACAGCACTCACTTCCAAACAAGGAACTACGGGGCACTGGGGCAGTTCCTGGCTGATGGGCCTGCATTTCGTTAGGCTCGTCAGGCACCTTCCGGAGCCGCCTTCCTTCCGTCTTCCCAGAGGGAGCACCCCCCCCCCCCCCCCCCCCGAGTCTGAGGGGTCTTTTCTCCACACAAACACCACCTGCTGAGCCCACGACCCTCAGGCCGGCCGCTCCCCTCCGGAGCGACCTTGAAAGAGCTGCCAGACCCCCGGCTCCAAGTCCTTCTTTGCTTTTCTTTCGCGAACCCGCTCCAACCTGACCACCGTCCCCCTCGACCGAAGGGCTTCTGTAAGTAACGGCCTCGGCTTCGCGGGTGACGTCCTTCCTCATTTTGTCCGGCCACTGGGCACCTGGCCAGACAGCCCTGCCCGCCTTCCTCCGCGGCCTCCCGGCACCTCGCCTCTCGGGGGTCTCCGGTCGGTGCTCCTCCAGCCCGGCCCGCAGCCCCCGCACGGCCTCCCTCGTGCGGAAGCACCTGGGCCTCGGTCCGGAGGCTCTCTCTCTGCACCGGGTTCCCATCAGTCTGAGATTTCAGTGTGGTCTGCGGTGACGATTCCTAAGCTCACACCTCCAGCCTGGCCCGCCCTCTGCACTCCCATCAGCCCCGCCGGTCTCCACGGCGACTCCCTGGCTCCATCCGGACCGCTCGCCCGCCCAACACGGGAGAGAACCCAGTCCGTTCCACAGAGCTCCGAGCCACGCTCCCAGCTACTGAGTGTGGCCTTGCTCTGTCTTTAAATCCTCACCGATTTAAAGAAATTGATTTCGAGGGAGGGAGGGAGGGAGACATCAATTGGTTGCCTTGCAGCAGGGGCTGGGGGACCCGAGGCACATGCCCTTGGCCAGGAATAGACTTGGCGACCCTTTGGTCTATGGGCGGACGCTCTGAGCACTGGGCCGAACCAGCCAGGGCAAGCGCGTGTGACTCCCGGCTCCTCTTTCTCATGCCCACACCTGCCCAACAGGAAAACCTGTTGGCACTACCTTCAAAATATACCTGAAATTCAGCCACCACTCCCCCCAACCCCACCTCCCCGTCCACACCGCCATCGCCCACCTGGTTAGAGTGGTGGTTCCTGCTTTGGCCCCGGCTCCCCACGGTCCCTCCCAGAAAGGATCAGCGTCTCTTAGGTCAGATGGCCTTTCTCTCCGCTCACAGCGCTCGGAGGGGAGGTCCATGGCCCTTATTCCGAACCACCACGTCCTCAAGACCCCCTGGGACCTGCTCGTCCCCAAGCCTTCTCCTTGCTCACTGTCCACCCGCCACACCGGCCTCCTCCTGTTCCCACCGCCAGCACTCCTGCCCAGGGCCTGGCACTGCCCGTCTCCCGGCACACTCTGCCACAATGTCCACGTGGATGGTCCCCTCGCCTCCTGCTCAGCGAGGCCCTGCCTCACCACCAATGTAGATTCACACCCCGTGCCCCCAGCTCCCCTTCCTAACTCGCTGTCTCCTCAGCACTGCGACTTGCCAACACGCTACATGGTCTGTGCCCAAGGAGTGCCCCCAGGAAGACAGGGACCAGCCCAGCACAAGGCCCTTCATAAAGCCGCCAGCCAGCAGCCCCGAAAACATGTCCCGTCTCCTCGTCTCTGCAGACCAGTAAGCCACTCCGGGCGAGTGAGCCACTCTGAGAATACGTTAGCCCTCCGTGTCCTCAACTGCCTGTGGCCAAACAGAGCTCTGCCAACAGTCAGCTGGGGGCGCGGCCTCGGCCCTGGCCTGGGGGACAGGCTGGTCCTCGGGGAACAGTCTGGTCCTGGGGGGGGGGGACAGTATGGTCCTGGGGGACAGGCTGGTCCTGGGTAAGTCTTGAAGGGAGAGCTCCGGGTCCCCACAGGCTGAGAGGCCAAACGGTGCAGGACCAGCCCAGAATCACAGCTCAGCCAGCATGCTGACCGGTCTGACTGCCCTGCGCTTCTGTGCGCTGCCCGGTGCAGCTCCCGGAGGGTCCCCGAGCAAGCACAGCCTTGGGGTGGGGCCAGGAGCCAGTGTTGTCTGCACTCCCCACTCAGCTTTACCAGGAACAGCTCATTTCCAGTGCCCTCTGAACTCCGTCTATCTTTCCAACGGTTCTGAACTGTCTGGCCTTCAGAAACTCCAGGTCTCAAAGGTATGAGGAGGGCCTGGGACCAGCTGACCGCGGAGGGAGCCAGCTGACCGCGGAGGGGGGCAGCTGACCGTGGAGGGGGGCAGCTGACCGCGGAGGGCCCAGCTGACTGTGGAGGGGGGCAGCTCACCGCGGAGGGCCCAGCTGACTGCGGAGGGGGGCAGCTGACCATGGAGGGGGGCAGCTGACTGCGGAAGGGCCAGCTTACCGCGGTGGGGGCCCAGTCGTGGCCGTACACAAAGCAGTACTTGCAGTAGAGGTCATCGTACTCAGGAAACTGTGGAGAAAGCACACACACAGGTTGTTCAGGGAACGCACGCTGAGCCAATAGCAATTCTGATTGAGACGCGGGCTGGGATCTGAGCGGCCACGGATGTGGACACCGGGTTCACGCCGGGGCTGGGTGTGGGGTGCAGGTCTTCGCAGCGCCAGAGCTTGGCTACACTGCCCAGCTGCCACTGCTCCTGGGCTTGTGCTCGCTGTGCCCTCCGTCTGACATGCCTTTCCCAGCCCTTCCTCTGGCACACCCCTGCTCCCCGGCTACCTTAGGCCACCTCCTGGCTCCGGCCCCCGGAGCGTCCCTGCACCGAGGCATTTGCCTGTTTGGTCCTGTTCACCCATCAGCCTGTGGGCAGGGACAGATGGCTTTCTGCGCCCCAGCCTGACAGGTGGGCACAGCGGAGACGTAAGGAAATGGTGGGAACTGAACGCAGGCGCTGTCAGGACAGCGGGTGCCCCGCTACAGCTGAACGCCTGGAGTGGGGGCGGCGCAGAGGCTGGGCAGGTGCTGAGTGGACACATGGCCCAGCCCAGTGAGAGCCCCTCAGCAGCCCGAAAGGGCAGTGTAGCCAAGCTCTGGCGCTGCGAAGACCCGGTTCAAATCCCAGTTTTGCCACTTCCTTTGGGCAAGCTTTCCCATCTGTAAACTGGGATGTGAGTGATACCTACTTCACAGAGGCATGGTGAGGCTGGAATGAGCAGTGCTGAGCACGGAGCTTGGCACAGAGCAGACACCTGGTGAACTTTTAAGAAATTTATATATACACACATACAAACAAATGGTTCTTATAATGGAGGGGGGTGGAGAGTGGCGTCCCCTTGCGTCTGACAGACACATCCTCCCTGGACCATTCCAAGGCACTGCCACCACAGGTGAGAGTACCCAAATCATCTGTTCTAGCCCAGGGCCAGGATCTGGGGGTTCAGCGCGGGGGTGGGCGCTCGGAGCGCACGGGGCGGGGCGCGGACGCCTGGGGCTCCCTCGCCGGCCGGGCCCAGCGCGGCTCCGCCGCTCCAGCCCGCGCGAGGCTCCTCCCCGCAGTGCACCCCGAGCCCGGCCCCGCCACCAGCCCGGCTCTCGGGGCCGCCCGCCCGCACGTCAGGTTTGAGGATGGCCGCAGCCTCGCCAAGCTTCTCAGATGCCGGCGCTCCCCGCCTAACGGGAGTGAGGAGCCTCCTCGGGGCAGCCCGGAGGCAAGGGGCTTGGGGGGCGGGCCCGGTCGGGACCCTGGCCGCTCACCTGGGCGCTCTCCACCTGCCCGCTGACCATGAGCAGGAAGACGCTGGGGCCCGCGGCCGCCATGGGAGAGGGCGCGCGGAAGCCACCCGAGCGGCGCAGCAATTGCCCGGAGGCGCCCTAGTTGCCCTGGAAACAGGCGGCGTGGCACCGGGCTTAGGCGCGGGACCGTCTGCGCAGGCGCGGGGGCGTGGTGGCGGCGCGCAGGCGCAGACGGCGGCTCTCCTCAGGAATGCCGGGAGGCGGGGCGGGAGGGAGAAGTCGGCGCGGTGCTTCGTGGGTGCGTCCCCTCGGCCGGCGGGAGGCCCAGTGGTGCAGGCAGCCCCCGGCCACGAGACGGCGCTGCGGCGCTACAGCGAGGCGGGGCGCGGGCTCTGCCCCGGGTCTGAGGAGCACCAGCAGCGCCTGTGGCTTTTGAGACCTGCATCTCGAGAAATTTATTATTATTATTTTTTTTAATGAACAGCACGCTACTTTTCAAGAGGAACACTCTATCTTTATTTTTTTTAAATCCTCACCTGCATTTGTTACCAAACCCAAGGGGTTTGCTGCTTGGGATGCTCTATTCAAAAACAAGACATAGCGAGACCGGTTTGGCTCAGTGGATAGAGTGTCGGTCCCAGGTTCGATTCTGGTCAAGGGCATGTACCTTGGTTGCGGACACATCCCCGGTAGGGGGTGTGCAAGAGGCAGCTGGTCGATGTTTCTCTCTCATTGACGTTTTTAGCTATCCCTTTCTCCTCCTCTCTGTAAAAAATAAATAAAAATATATTTAAAACAAACAAGACATAGTTGCCACAGCTTACACACACTGTTTGGTCAATTACATGTTCCTTTCTTCTTTGCAGTTGACTATACTTATCAGGTCGAGTTCCTATCCAGCTCCTCCTGTTCCCAGCTGTTCTGCAAAATACTGTGCTACATTTTAGCATTCAGCAAGAACAGCATTTAATAAGAATGGCCTAGGCTCTTACCCTACCCAACAAAGGGGTGAGCACTTCCAGATGGAGCACAGTAAATGCAAAGGCCCTGAGGTCCAGAGGCAGACCTGCCTGCTTGCACTGGCTCACAGGAGACAACTTGCTTTCGGTACTGTCACGGTGGTGGCTTGAGGTCAGCCATGGAGGAAATATTTACACCATGAAAATCAGCAAATGCTAAAATCAGGGCTTTGGTTTTTTTTATATTATATATATTTTTTAGAGAGCCACTTTACCAGGAGATGGGATTAGAGAGCTCACCAAGCCCAGAACACCCAGGACCTTAGAGTGGGTGGCTAGAGGGTTTTGAGGCAAAACACTGAGGAGGGATGTAAAACAATTCGGTTTTAACAGGGTCTCTTTGGCCACCATGCGGGGAGCCAGGGGATAACTGGGAGGCAGAAGTAGTCATCCAGGTAGGGTTATCAGATACAGCAAATGTAAATACCATACAATATTTGGGATATACATAACCAAAAAAAATGTTTATGTGAAATTCTAATTGAAATGGGCATCCTGTATTCTGTCTGGCAGCTCTATCTGTAGGAGCCATGTGAGACGAGGTCCACATTGCTTCTGGAATGCTTATTGCTTGATTATGCCTCCCCCACTCCAGTCCTTGGGATGGAGCCTCCTTCATGGCCATTCCCTCCTCCTGGGATGTTCAGAGAAAGATCTGTACCAACCCCTCCCTACAGCCCACACCCAACTGACCCTGGACCTGCACATACCCCTCAGCCATTTTCTCTGTGCTTCCCAGCGTATCTGAGCCAAACCAGTTAGGGCAAAGCAAGCAAATTTATTAAGAATACACTTGGGGGAAGAACCAAGATGGTAGCAGTATGTAAACGAGGCACTCACTTCCTCCCACAACCACATTAAAATTACAATTAAAACACAACAATCATTATTCAGAACCACCTGAAATCTGGCTGGATGGAAGTCTTACAACTAGAGAAGTAAAGAAAGCACATTGAGACTGGTAGGAGGTGTGGAGGCGTGGAACAGGCTATTCCAATACCCACATGGGATTTTTTTAAATTATATTTTTATTGATTTTTGTACAGAGAGGAAGGGAGAGAGATAGAGAATTAGAAACATCGATGAGAGAGAGAGTCATCGATCAGCTGCCTCTTGCACACCCCCTACTGGGGATATAACCGCAACCAAGGTACATGCCCTTGACCGGAATCGAACCCGGGACCCTTCAGTCCCCAAGCCGATGCTCTATCCATTGAGCCAAACCGGTCTCGGCAACATGGGATTTTTTTTTTTTAACTGGGAGGGATATCTTGGCTGAGGAGGTCTCCCATGAAGAGCAAAGGGCCCTACCCCTACAACAGACCCCCCAGCCAAGGGTTCCAGAGCTGGGAAGAGAAGTCCTCATAACTTCAGGTTATAAAAACCATCAGGGATAGTGGTTTAGTGAATGGATTTTTTTTTATGGAGTCCCAGGCAGTTCCTCTTAAAAGGCCAGCACACAAACTTACATGAACTTGCTACCTCTGAGTTCTAGTACTGGGACAGTGGCTTAGGGGGATCCAGGAACCTATGGGGAGGAACTGGATTGTCTGGCATCAAAGCAAGAACGTGGGGACAGCATCCTTCCAGACAGGGGTTCTCACAGCGGTCATTGTTCCTATACAGAAAGCTCCTCTGTCACAGAGCTGACTGACAGGGGCCATATCTGAATCTCCATCAATCTAACTCACACTGTTCACCCCACCTGGTGATTCCCTGAGACCCCACCCCACTAAATTTGCAGCCCCACCCAAGCTGTTCGCAGTGGCTTTCCCATATGAATGGCCTGTCCTAGCTCAGGCTTCACACTTTGCTAAAATCTCTCAAACAAGCAGCAATTGGTGTCAGTGTACCTCATTCCATTCAAAAAGAGGCTCCAGGCTTGGCACTAGCAGCAGCCTGCCTTGGTTCACAGCTTGGCCTCTCCTGAGTACTTCCAAGCCCAACACAAGTAGCAAGGCCTGGCTCTGCCATGTTCTGTGTCCTATGGGCAGGTCTGCCCTACCATTGAGCCACACTGCCTGGTTGCTGGGTCCCAGGCAGCAGTCCCTTGGAGCCCCTCCTGGCTCTGGGAGTTTATAAGCTCTGCCTCTCCCTGGTCTCTCCAGGTTAAATAGTGCCCACCATAGTCTCTGTTAGGGTCACCAAAGGAGGAATGCACTAGGCCAAAGTGGTAAGTGATTATAAATTTATTAGAGGCCCGGTGCACAGAAATTCATGCACTGGAGGAGGGTCCCTCAGCCCGGCCTGCTGCTTGTCACAGTCCAGGAGCCCTCAGGGGTGGGAGGTGACCAGGTGATCAGGGGAAGGCAACGCCCCATCACACTTCTGCTGCTGCCACTGCCAGCAGCGCAAACCTTGGCAGGCCCTGGTTACCTGAGCCTTGGGCAGCCCTGGTGTCTGGAAAGCCACCATCTGAGGCTTGCCTGGGCCTTGGGACAGCCCTAAGCAGCTGGGGGAGTAAGGGGACTGGGGAAATCTAGAGGCAGGAGTGGGGATTGGGTCCAGCCTTGCTGCCAGCCTGCTGCCCTCAAGGGGCTGGGCTGAGGGGAATGGGAGCCACCATTTTTAAAATATATATATATTTCATTGATTTTTTACAGAGAGAAGGGAGAGAGATAGAGAGCTAGAAACGTCGATGAGAGAGAAACATCGACCAGCTGCCTCCTGCACACCCCCTACTGGGGATGTGCCTGCAACCAACGTACATGCCCTTGACCAGAATCGAACCCGGGACCTTTTAGCCCGCAGACCGACGCTCTACCACTGAGTCAAACCGGTTCCGGCGTTGCCACCATCTTTGAGGGTGGGGCAGACAGTTAGCATATTTCCTTTTTATTAGATAGGATTAGGTTATCTGCATACCAGATGGGTTGAGCCCCAAAATGGCACCAGCCCCCAAAAGACAGGGTCAGAGGTTTTTGTTTTTTTAAATATATTTTTATTGATTTCAGAGAGGAAGGGAGAGGCAGGGAGAGAGTAACATCAATGACGAGAATCATTGATCGGCTTCCTCCTGAACACCCACAACTGGGGGTGGAGCCCGCAACCCAGGCATTTGCTCTTGACCGGAATCAAACCTGGGACCCTTCAGTCCACAGTCTGACACTCTTTCCAATGAGCCAAACCAGCTAATCGAGGTTTTTAAAGGACTCTAAATGGACTTTTTCTGGGCAGAGAATTCTTTGGATAGGTCTAGATTCTAGGAAACTCCGAGGGGAGAGATAATGATCTTGGGAATGAGGTCTAGGCAAATGGAATGTCCATTGTGAAGTGTCCTGAAGGTCAGTTCCCAAGGGAGGGGTATCAGACTTAACAGTCTCCTGTGTGGAAGGCACTTCCCCATTCCTTCCTCTTTCCCTCAGGACTGTGGGGAGAAAGGTTGTTCTGGGCACTCCGTGTACTGAGGCAAAAACAGACCAAGAAGAAGCAGTGGAGGGGAGGAAAGGATGTGTGTGTGTATGTTCTACCTGCATGTGTTTCTGTGTACTGTTCCTGTGTGCAAACCTCTGTGCATGTTTGTGCAAATCTGTGCGTGAGTTGTATGTTCCTGACTCTCCATGCAACATGCACATGTGTGCATAGTTATGTCCCTGAATTTTGCGCACCGTGTGGGTATGAGCATGTCCTTGTTCCTATGAACCGAAGTGGACTGTGAGCACTGTGGTGTGACTGTCCCAGAGCAGAGAAACGGGCTGAAGCTGCCATTCCTGGCTCTCACCCACCTGTGGCCACATTGCCTGTCACCGGGAAGACACTAAGCTCTGGACTAAGTGAAGCCTTGTCACCTGCCACCTTTACAAAGAGCATGGGAGCCCCAGGGCAGGGGGGGATGAGAAGGTGGCTGCACTGGGAGAAGATGGACTGGGGAATCTACCCTAACCCCCACGTCCCTCAGCCTGCCAGCCTTCAGGGTCTCCTCCCTCCTGCCCTCCTGACCAGTACTCTGACTGCCTTTTACCCATTCAATATCTGTTCTCCACGCATTCCTTCCAACACACCTTGATTTGGGGGGTAATGTACTGCCGGGGCTGACCTGCAGACCCTGAGCGACGGGTGAACAGA